TGCTTCTCCCTCCCCACTCCCCTTGCTTGTGTTCCCTCTCTCGCTGTGTCTCTCTCTGTCGAATAAATAAATAAAATCTTTAAAAAAAAAAAAAAAAAAGAATACATATTCCTAGCTCTGCCATACCTGTCTCCCACACCTAGCAACCTTACAAATAACTTTCGTCACTGTGAGGTAAAGCTAAACTCTTGTCAAACCAGATTTTCTGCTGTAGATGTTTTCCAAACTACAAGGGTGGCCCAAAAGAGGTGACATTAGAGGCAGTAGATTCATAGCCAATAGTATAAGGGACTTGCTGGGTCACCAGTACCAAGAAGGGGCATGAGCTCTGGATGTTAGTTCGGGAATTTGAGATATATAGAGGAATTCAGCGGATCACAAGAGAAGACAGGTAAGAGAAGAAATGATTATAACAAGGAATTTAATTCATATATTTATCAAACATCTGTGTTGCCACAGCATAGATGTTTGATAAATGTATGGATTAAATTAATGTGTATTCTTTACCCTTAGGGAATTTGCCATTTATTAGGGGAAAGATATACACAAAAAATTATAATTCAGATTAAATAACTGGCATCAATTTATATACCTAGCTGTTATCCCTAGGTCTAGAAATCCAGTGTCAACAACAATGGATTTCTAAAGTAGCTATTCTAAAGGAAACATTTTATTTTAAAATAATGTAATTTTTGTACATGAGTTTGTTTAGGGTAAGCATTTATTTACTGAGAAAGCATCTATCAATTCTTTGTGCATACATTTCTGGTCAGGTAGGGAAAGAACTTTATATCTTAGTAGAAAGGCAACCTTGTTATTAATAAGTTAAAGATAATTAAAATATTAAGAGAAAGTAAAGAAATAGTAGCTAACTCCATTTATTCCCCATTCTCACGAGTGATAGGAAAAATATTTTAAAGACTGTTAATACAAATGAAAACGTCTAGCTAGAAATGTTATACTGAAATTTAAAAGAGTTAAATTCAACAAAGTGAATGGGATATAATATTCTTCCACTTATTCTTTGTTGAATTAGAAATTGCAGTCAATTACTAAGCAGCATCTAGGAGTGTTCCCAAATTCTGTGATTTCTGCAGAAAAAATGAGAAGATGAAGGCACCAAAAATCACCACTACATGAAGAATCATAAACAAAATAAATATTTGAGCTTCTGCTGTGTACTAGACAAACCCTGTTCTAGGTGCTGAGGATATAGCAGTGAAAGAATAGACCAAAATACAACCGTCCCTGCCTTGGAATTTACATTCTATGGGAGTCAGATAAAAATCAAAGTAAGTAAAATAGTGTATCGGTCAGAAATGTTACGGAAAAAATGAGGAAAGGAAAAGTGAGCTTTAAGAGGGATTTCTTCTGTGTTGTTTTGTGTTGGTGTTGGTCAGGAACAGGAATTTTAGACTTGATTGCCTATGACCGATCATGTGTTCTAGGGTAAATTCCTTGCCCTCTCTCAATCTTCACATTTATAGAATTAATCAAAATAATAGCTATTTTTTATTCATCATTTACTACTGTCATTTAGCAGATACCCTTACGTTCATTAATCAACACGTTTACTCACAATAACCTTATGAGGTATGTAAGAGCCTTGTTCCCATTTGACGCGAGCAAACTGAGGTTTGGATTAAGCAACTCGTTTGGGGACACACACGTAGTAAAAGTAGAGGCTGAGTTCCAAGTCACATCTGACTGGGGCTTGCTATTACTGGGTAGTGCCCCTCACCGAGTTGGTTCCACGGGTTCCAGCTGTAAATTTGTAAGTGCTAGAGTTGGTGGTTGTCTTGCAGGGGTGCGTACCTTCCTGTGGGTCTGCAGGGAAACTGGCCCCGGGCGGTTCTGCTGCGCGTACTCACCACGCCCCTCGCCCGGGCTCTGGCGGGTGGGTGGGGAGTAGAGGGAGGGGGGTGCGCACTGGGAAGGAGGAGGGGTGGGCCGACTACCAGTCCCAGCATTCCGCGGGCTCCTCCCCTCCCCACGGAGGTCGTATCACGTGGACAGGGACTGGGACGACATTCTGATCGGCCGCGTCCGAGGAGGGCTAGAGCCGGCGTCGTGGAGCAGAAAGAACACCCGAGGGGCTCCCCTGATGTTGACAGTTGACGGTTTAAGACCCTGCTAGAATTTGTAAGTAGATAAAATATATATACAACTTTTCCGTGTGCTAATATTTGCTCAGATATCTTCTTTGGAAAGATTTTTTCAAAATGATTCCTCCCCACCCCCACCTCTCTATCGCAAAAAACCTTAAACGGAACAGTTTGGGGGCATATTTTTGTTTTGGAGTAAAAGAAGAGAAATCAAATCCTATGAACATTAAACAGATTAAGGTGGGAATAAATGTTTGGTTTGGACTTTGAGACGAGAAGCAGAATTCTTATAAGGCTCAAAATACAAACGGGTAATCGGCCAGTGTAGGTGGCGATTACTTCCTTTACTTGCGTGCCTAACAGGATCTCGTTATTCGTCATCTTTATCCTTATAAAATAGTACTCTCCCCCCACCTTTTTTAGCCTTAATGGTGCTAAAAAGGGCTAAGTT